AATATATTCTTAGATCTACAGACTAACTATAGACATTCTATCATCTTCGGTGACTTCAATTCGGACATGTCACTTGTCAGTTATAACAGTAGTCACCTGCTGCTGTTTGTTGAGTTCTGGCCAGTACTTGATTTCTTATCAAACTACGCATTACTTAAAGAACTTGAGCTCTTTTCTTGATTTGTGCATTGTAGATAACCCTGAAATGATTTCTAAATTTGGACAACATAGTGTACCTTTACTATCAGCTCATGATTTAATCTATATGCACTACAAAATTAAAGTAGAATGTAGATGTTGTAGGGAAATATTATGTCGAGATTTTAGAAACTTTAGTAAAGCAAATTTTCTTTCAGATTTACAAGCTAAGGACTGGGAATACCTGATGAACTCAGAAGCTATAGATGAAAAAGTGCACATGTTAAATAATTACATCTTACAATGCCTGAATAATCATGCTCCTATACAGCATAGGATTTTCAAGAATTTCCCAGCACCTTGGCTGACTACTAATATTAAGGCCACAATGAAGAATAGAGATAAAATTCGTAGAAGATGGCGGAGAACGCAGAATATGGATTACTATGTTGACTATAAACGATCTCGAAATCACGTCCAAAACCTGGTTTGTACTGCTAAGGCTAGTTATTATCTACGCAAATTCAATATTATCTACGACTAAGGTCCTAACACGGTATGGAGTCACTAAACATCTCGGACTCATCAAGGTTAAGGATGCTGATAAATGTTTGGCGCATGCAGTTGAGAAGTTGAATGACTATTTTGCGAATACGGAAAATCTGTGTAATGATACATCGTTGGGTGATATAAATCTATCTCCAGAGGATGACTTTGATGACAGTAAATTTTATTGGACGTATATCACTCCAGCGTGAATAAGGAAGGCTACCTCCAGCATTAAAACTAATGCAACAGGAAATGATGAAGTCTTATTGCAAATAATTTGCTTAATTTTACTTTACATTTTACCAGTACTGGAGAACATTTTTAATTATTCACTGTCTCATGGTATATTTCCAAGGATGTGAAAAAGGCTATCATTTGTCCGATACCTAAAATTAGAACCCCGACTACTCTGTAACATTAGACCGATATCTATTCTTCCGGTCATGTCTAAGATCTTAGAACAAATCGTATGTAATCAGTTACATAATTACTTGGAAGAAAATAATCTCCTCGCAGACAATGTCTAATTGCGCAGACTTGACAAACAGAAACTGTTTCTTAAAACGCTACAAAAGGGAAACAAGTTTTGGTGCTGTCAAAACTGTTAGCGCATGAAGACCAAAAACGCTATAAATTGTTGGCAATATACATGAGACTATTGTGGTCGATAACAAATACATCTCTATCGATAAAATTGACGAAAAATAGACGTCGACAACAAGCAACTTTGTTTTTAGGAATACCGTAACCAAACCGCCCGCAAAACCATAGCAGCATCTGTTTACGACAGAAAGATAATTTCAATAGGGTTGATATGTTGAACGCATTGACGACAGATTGCTAGCAAACGCCAAGCACATCTGTTCGTGCATTCGTGTGAACTGCTTGCACGCAAGACTACAACACTATCTGTTTAACATCCACGCAATAGCGATTATCTGCGGTCGTATTTGTCACCCATGTTGATGACAAATTGTTAGCAGACATTAAACAGTTTTTGACTGGATGAACAGTTGCAACTGGTCATCAATTGGCAAATATGCAATAGCTTCCGATATGTTTACACGACAGATTGACAACAAACAGTAAGGCTTGTCAACCGTGCTGATAACAGATTGACTAAACATAATTTAATGCATTGCAGTTTCAAATTTCACCAGATGTATTATCAAATGCATTATTGATACACTATATTTTAAAGAGCAGTTTTTCTTATAAGCAGTCCTTTTCTTCTAAATCAGTAAGGAGATTTTTTATTCGGTTTTTTGTTGGAATAAACCAGTTACTTCATTTATTAAACAATGCAAATTCCATGGAGCTAATGTGTGCGCATGCGCTTCTTGTATTATATATGTCAACCAATGGCGTGTTGCTATGTGATATTCCTATCAACTGTATTACGTATGATAACGTTCTAGAACACTCTCTTATTATAAACGATATTTTTTCATTTGTGTGTGTCACGTGTTATGTAATTTCAACAAGTATATATCCCACAGAAACTTTCGTCATCTCGTATATTATATTGTGAAAATATGATTTTGCAGAATAAACTTATATTTTGAAGTATATCCAACATTTTTATTAAATAGTGATAAAATATAAATTAAGATATACTTAGCAAACAGTGCTGGAATTTCCACTCTGGAAGAAAAATGCAATTGTCACTCAAAAATCTGAATAAAAAAAGTATTTTCTAATGGATTTTTGGTCATCGAAAACGAATCTGTTAACAACAATATATTTAATAATAATACGAAAAATATTTATTGGTGCAGGTACATTGTACTGCAATATTTTTAGTAAAATAATAATTTATATAAATAATAAATAAAATGTGTGTAGGATAGCCTATGAGAATAAGTAGATAAAAATACTTATATGTTAATAAGGAACACAAGTGGTCTCGCGACTGAGTGCAGGGGGCTGCGAATGTGGAGGTCTCGAGTTCAAATCCCGCTATCATTATTAGGATATTTTCAGGTTTGGTCTCTTTTAATGGAGTTTATCGGTTGATCGGCGAGCTGAATCAGGCCTCCAGAAATTAATTCTAGTGAAATCTCGAATTAATTCCTCTCCGACAGGCGATATGCCATTGGTTTTCTTTTTTTTTTTTTTTTTTTTAGTAAGTAATTCCACTTCTAAATAGAATCCATTAGACAACAGATCTAGTCTGCGTTTGGTAGTAATCTGTTGACGTTTCTGACGACAGATCTGCTCTGTATTTGCTAATGTTCTGGTGACAGTTTTGATGACAAATATGCTCTGTATTTGGCGATATTTTGGCGCCAACAGACTGACCAAACCTGTTCTGGATTTAGTGCCTCACTTTGGCTTTGTTTTGCTAGTTGCAGATCTGTTATGATTCTGATCTTTTGACATATCTACATGTTGGACAAATTCAATCGTCAAACCATATCCTATTGAGTAGGCTATGGTCTTGGCATTAAAGTTTGCCGGCGATTTTTGACAAATCTACAACATCCCACGACCAAATTGTTTGCTGGGCTGTTTGATCCATGCTAATTTGCATACAGAAAAGGCCATTCATCTCAAACCGGTATTATTCGAGTACTTGACGATGTGAGACTGGCGACGAACAGAAGGAAGATTACTATTTTTGTTCTCTTTGATCTGTCTAAGGCCTTTGATAGAGGTGACCATTTTATTTTACTAAGAAAACAGAATAAAAAGTTTTCAACTTTGGTATTGCAATGGATAGGCTCGTATCTACATGGCAGGCACCATGCAACTAGAGATTCTGTGAACCGCTTTGTGTCTTTCTTTGCCTCGAGTTATGTGTACTACAGGGCTCTGTTCTTGGACCACTGCTTTTTGTTTTGTATATCTCGGACTTTCAAGAGGTTCTGTCTTACTGAAGTTACAGCTCTTATGCAGATGATTTATTGATCTAATTTCATTGTAAACCTCGTGCTCTACGTGATGGCATTACACATGTTATTGGGACCTTGAATAAGTTCTTGCTGTTTCCCAACAAATGGCGTTACCAGAACTACGTGCGTGTAGTTTAAGATGGTAACGCATCTATAAAGAAGTACTATAAGCAAACTTGAAATTAAGTGTATGTCATTTCGCCAAAATGTAAACAACTTTTTTTTCATAGTGTTAAACATGTCAAATTTTGTGCCAAAAAAAAGAATATTTTCGGAGAATTTTATTGCACTATTTTATTCAAAAAAATCTGCAGCTGAAGCACACAGACTTCTTGTTGAGAATTACGGCGACCATGCTCTGTCGGAAACAACATGCAAAGATTGGTTTAGACGCTTCAAAAATAATGATTTTGATGTTAAAGATAAAGAACGCTCTGGCGCACCAAAAAAGTTTGAAGACAAAAAATTGGAGGACACACACCTAAAGGTCGGCGCTGATTAACCTGATTTACTCAATAATTACTTCTTTACTATATGTAATAGAAAAAAATAGTTCAGGACTTTTTGACTCAGTTTTACTCCTTCTATCTGCCTACGAGAGATTGTACGGCAATTCTGAGATACTCTGTATATATATATATCGCACAAACATCTAGCGTAAGCTCTCATTGATCGGTTAAACGTCGCGTTGTTGATTTCAAAAATCTCAAGAGTCTCAACTCATTGTTTCTTTTATTATTTCTAGCGTACAATGTTACAATTCTTGTGCTCGACGATTTTATCGCAACTTATTTGCAACGTGTTCACTGTCTTGTCGCAGTTTGTCTAACAAAACCAGCAATCGATCTTATAAGGAGATTGATCGCGTCAAGTCAGCGGTTTGATTCGTCCTTGCGATGGTTGCGACGGTTTATCCGTGTTGCGTTGCATTGTGACAATAGCTGTGCCTATTCTATTCATTAACACTTCACTTCTCAATCAACACTTCTTTTAAAGGAAATGTTGCTTAAGATCTCGTTAACTAATTCAGATCAATTGAGCAATGGCGGTGACTTCCTTCAGTCGCTCAATGGTCCGATTTTTTTAAACTAATTAAATAATCAAAAAAGCAATTTTGAGAGAGAGAGAGAGAGAGAGAGTTCACAATATATCTCACCGTCAGATATAAAAATACTTACATAAAATGAGAGAGATTCTCCTTCTCAAAATTTAACTTTATCTTTATATAATCTTGGAAACCTTTGCTCACTTATAATATAACCAATACATCGATTTATCGAAACCTTAACTTTGCATTTTCCGTACTTTTCCGTATTTTTTATTATAATTGATTACTTTTGTCATAGTTTAGCGTTTCCGACTCCTTTAGAACTCTATATATTTTTCTAAATAAATCGCAATAATCGATTCTATACTAACCTGCAACAATTACGCATATCGTATCCAGCAAACAACTCCATTCCAATAATGGCGAAGAAATAATATAAAATTATCATGACCATTGCTGTTGAACACAATTGAGAAAATAAGATTACAAGAGTACCAAAAACGTCTCGGTAGCGTTTCTTGAACTTGAATAATCTCAGCGTTCTGAGAGGTCGGAATAAAACCAGAAATGTAGTCGACGGAAATAAAATAAGACCACACGCGGCAATAAGAGTCATTATTGAAGTCGCCAAATCGAAAAGATTCCATCCAGAATTCAGATAAGGTTTAATTCCAAGAGCTAATATTTTTGACAATGCTTCCAGAACAAAAACTAAAATCAAAAAAAGAAAAGTAAGATAATTAGCGCCAAATATTTAATCAAAATGACAAATTGTTGAATAAGAATCAAATGGAGCTCATAAGACCATGATTGAAGTTACATCTTAACATTCCTTTTAGTGTTTTTAAAAAATAGTATATAAAGGTTTCAAGTATTCTTGTTTACTCTTTCAAATGTAACTAACCTATTATCAAATAGTTTTAACGATATCAAGAGAAACAGTAGCGTCTCGACGCCAAATAAAAACATCTGTCAAAGGAGTGTCACTGTCAAGACGCTATCATATTTTATTCCGAGTGTTTACTCGATGAATCTTTGACAAAATATTTCAAAAATTGAAACACTAACAAAAAAATGTAACTTTACTTGTCTTAATAAATATCAATATGAGCTTTCAATTGTAAGAAGTGCAAATTTGATTGGTTCAGGCAAACCAAAGATCTAAAATATTACACCTCAAAATATAAGAATCATACAGATTCTTACACGTAACCGCACGCACACATTCAAAGCGCGAGCGTTATTTACGCTGCGTTTCACAGTCGCGTTTGTGTTCACAAGCGCTTTCAGATTAGATTAAGTTAGGTTAGGTTAGGTTAGGTTAGATTAGGTTTCTCCCTGGACTCGGAATTGCGGGCACAACGCGATGCCTTGGTGGACGGTGTTATAGATTGGGGGGACGAGACTACCCTCCGTTTGAAGGCACAGGTCGCCGAGAGGGAGCGTGACGACCTCCTCCAGGAAAGAGTCACAATCGCTGCGGAGCGCCAGGAGCTGGTTCAACAACTTGAGGCTCTGCGGATGGAGGTCAATGACCTGAAAGTGGAAAACGCCAACCTCCACATCAGCGTCATGAGGTTGGAGGCCGGGTTCGATCGGACGGCGGTCCCCTGTGAGACAGCGACGATCGCTGTACAGACGGACGTCGCCCCGACCCTGAAACAACAACCAGAGAAGGCGGAGGAGAGCGAGAGGAAAAAGCCGACGGTTTTGTCGGTGGAAGTGGTCCCGGCGGGGAGCAAATCCCTGTTGCCGGGGATCGTTCCTCCCCCCCACAAATCTCGAGAGGAGAAAGAGGGAGGCTCCGGGTCCGTCTGAAACAGGCGTCCCGGCAAAATTAGCCTGGGCTGAAGATCAGCCGGAGAAGGGCCTTGGCTGCCAGCTGCGGGAGCTTTCGCTCTGCGTTGCTTCCTTGCAACAGCAGATGGCGGCCATGATGACGGGGGGTCCCTCGTCCGAGCGGGTACTACCTCTTCGGGCGGGGAAGAAAGATCTTCCCCCGGCCCCACGGCGGCGCAGCCCTGTGAGGTCTGCCGATACAAAAGGTGAGGAAGAATTTCCGCCTTTTCAATGGGTGGAGGTGGTGCGCCGTGGCAAGCGTGGGAGGAAGACCCCGGCAGAAGGGACGACGCCTGTAGCCGTCCTTGAACCCTCTGCTGGTACTTCCAGGGAGCCTAGGCCCTCTGGTCGGACGGCGCCGGATCTGCCTCAGCGGCAGCAACGGCAACAGTTGCAGCGGCAGACGTTGCCGCAACAACAGCCGCGAGGGCAACAGCGGCAGACGTCGCAGCAACAGCCGCGAAATCAGCCGCCGAAAGTGAAACCCCCGAGGAGAAGGCCGCCCAGGACGGCGGCGGTTGCGGTGCGGTGTCTTCCCGGCCAGGACAGCGGCCGGGAGTCATACGCAGCCATTATACGGCTGGCGCGGGAGCGGTGTCCCTTACAGGTTTGGGCATAGGGGACATCCGTGTCCGCAAAGACATGGGGGGAGGCCTTCTCCTGAAGATACCAGGGGAAGGAGGAAACGAGAAGGCGGATCGCCTGGCTGAGGCCTTGTCACCGGTCCTCAAGGACAAGGCGGTGGTATCTCGTCCCATGCGTAGGGGCGAGGTACGACTGATGGGGCTTGATGCCTCCGTCAGTTCTGAGGACGTCGTGGCGGCGGTGACGACGGGCGAATTTGGTCCATGCCGGGAGGGCAATGTCGCGATGGGCCCAATCGTAGAGGGTCGCGACCGCATGGGGTCGGCATGGATGCGCTGCCCGGAAGGAGTAGCGGCGAGACTTGCCGCCGTGGGACGTCTCCGGGTTGGCTGGTCCAGCGCCCGGGTCGTCCTACTTGAGACGCGCCGGCTCCAGTGCTATAAATGCCTGGAGTTCGGCCATGTCCGGCAGTCATGCCGGAACGACGAAGACCGCTCTCGCACCTGTTTTCGGTGCGGTAGAGACGCGGATCACACGGCGCGCACCTGCACGGCTCCCGTGCGATGTGTGCTGTGTGACAGCAGGGGCCTGTCCACCGGTCACCGGATGGGAGGCCCATCCTGCCCTTCACGTTTGAAGGGCAGGAACGGGAGGAGAAACCCCCCGGAGCGGAGGACCGGGGTAGCTGCCGTGGCAGCTGAGATGGATGTGGACCGCAATGAAAATGCGTGATCTCATCCAGACCAACGCAAATCATTGCGGTCCGGCACAGGACATGCTAAGGCATGTCATGTGCGAACGACTGGTGGCTCTCGCAACGGTCGCGGAGCCATATTACATCGGGGAGGCTCCGGGCCGAGCGGTGGACCTCGACGGGTTGGCGGCGATATTGTGGTCGCCCCGCGAGAGTCGCTCGTTATGCGAGGTGGCTGCGCGGGGCCACGGTTTTGTGGCGGTGCGCTGGGGGGAGGTAGTGGTGTTTAGCTGCTACTTTCCCCCCAACGCAAGTAGGGCGGAGCTCCGCGAATCCCTTGATGCTCTCTCCGAGAGCATAGAGAGGGTGGGTGGGGAGTCCCACCTGGTGCTGGACGACTTCAACGCCTGGTCCACACGGTGGGGCTCCGCCTCCACGAATGTGCGGGGGAGGGAGGTCGAGGGATGGGCCGACAGTGCCGGATTGTCCCTGCTCAACCGGAGGACGGTGGCGACGTGCGTCCGGTCCCAAGGGTCCTCCGTTGTGGACCTGTCCTGGGCGTCGGCGGCTGCGGCCCCGCTGATCCGGCGGTGGAGGGTCCTCCAAGGGGTGGAGACCCTGTCGGATCACCGATACATCGGCATGTCCATGGTCGATGAGGAGGGGGGTGCCCGCTCGAGGTATGTCTTTCCTCGGTGGAAGCGGGACCCTTGGGACCTGGACATGTTCGAGGCGGTGGTCCGGGGATCAGCGTGGGTTGTCGCCGGGGACCGGGATGGGTCCTTGGCGGAGGAGGTTGAGTGGCTGGCCCGCGTGTGTGCGGACGCATGTAACGCGTCGATGGCCCGCGCGGGTCGGCCGGGACCTCGCAGGGCCGTGTACTGGTGGTCGGCGGAGATCGCTGATCTCAGGACACGGTGCATGGTCCTGCGCCGGCGATACACCCGGGCACGAGGGCGTCGTCAGTACGACCCGGATGCAGTAGAGGCCTTGCGTGTCCACCTGCGCGAGGCACAGCGCGCCCTCCGTCAGGCCATCATGACAGCAAAAGGGGCGGCGTGGAGGAACCTCACGGATACCCTAAATAGGGATCCGTGGAGTTTGGCATACCGGGTGGTGCTGGCGCGCCTGAGACCATCCGGCCCGGGGATTACGGAGCTGCTGTCGGTGGATGCGGTCCGGGAGTTGGTCCGGACTTTGTTTCCTCTCCGGGAGGAGGCCCGTCCGGGTCCACCGGGCCGCATACCGTGGCGAGAGGAGTTCGCCGTGGGGGCGGAGGAGTTCCGTGAGGCGTGCCGTCGTTTGCGGGGGCGGCGTACCGCCCCGGGGATGGACGGGGTTACGTCCGAGGCCCTGGAACGGGTGGCATCCTTGGCCCCGGAGGTGTTGCTGCGTTGTTATACGCGGTGCCTCCGGGAGGGGTGCTTCCCGCGGGCGTGGAAAGGGGCCAGGTTGGTCCCCAAGGCATCTCGCCCGGGAGCTGCCTCCTCGTCCTATAGGCCGACATGCCTCTTGGACGAGGTGGGCAAACTCTTTGAGCGGGTCTTGGCGACCCGCATCGAGGGGGTCGTGCGGAGGAACGGGGGCCTGTCGGACCGGCAGTTTGGGTTCCGACCGGCGCTCTCCACGTGTGACGCGGTTCTCCGTGTCCGGGAGATCGCCGGGGCCCACCTGGCTCGGATGAGGACGTGCGTTGCGGTTAGTCTGGATATCCGCAACGCGTTTAACTCCCTGTCCTGGGGTGGCGTCCGGGCGGCTTTGCGGGATTGGGGTCTTCCTACTTACCTGCGGGCCGTCCTGGACGACCACCTTTCGGACAGGTTTGTCTACTATCCCTGTCGGGACGGGGAGTTGAGGTCCCACGCTGTCACCTGCGGGGTGCCACAGGGCTCTGTTCTGGGGCCCCTGCTGTGGGACCTCACTTACGACGCGGTGTTGCGGATCCAGCTGCCGCCGCACGTGGACGTCGTATGCTACGCCGACGACACACTTGTGTTAGCGGCGGGCTGCGACGTCCGGGAGGCCAGGCTCCGAGCGACCCTTGCGGTGGCCGTAGTGTCGGAGTATATCTCCACACTCGGCCTCGCCCTGGCTGCCAATAAGACGGAGGTAGTTGTTTTCCGCCCTCCGGAAGGACGGCCCGGAGATCCGGTCAGAGTAGGGGTTGGGGAGGCCCAGGTTGTTTCGCGCACATCTATGCGCTACCTGGGCCTCCTCGTAGATCAGGAGTGGTCCTGGAAGGACCACTTTGAGTACGCGGCGGAGAAGGCCGGACGGATGGCGTCGGCACTGTCTCGCCTGCTGCCGAATGTTCGGGGCCCCGGGGAGGCCGCTAGGCGGTTGTATCTGGGCGTCGTGCATTCTGTTTTGATGTACGGCGCCCCGGTATGGTGGGAGGCGCTCTGTCGGGGCCGTCTTGGGGCTCCGTTCAGTCGGGTGCAGAGGGTGGTGGCTCAACGGGTGGCCCGGGCCTACCGTACTGTCGCGCTGGAGGCGGTGCGGGTAGTGGCCCGTGTTCCTCCGGCCGACCTGTTGGCTCGGCAATATGCCGAGATTTTCGCTAACATCCGCGAAGGTAGAGCCCGGAATGTTG